CGGCCAATTGGCGCCGCAGTGCCCCTCAGGCCCGAATAACCCGATGGGCCCCTGAACCTAATGGGGGGGGGGGGCATGTGCCTCACGGGCCCACCTGGCTACGCCACTGAGGAAAATCGTAAACCCATAAATATCGAAATGCGATCACCTGTCATTTTTTCAACGATTATTGTGATCGTCTGATTAACGCCAGAGCCTCGTAGCTATACCGTTGCCTCCCGCGCAATGTCCGCCCCTGTGGACCGCAGGGGCTGCTGCACCGGTGCTAATCGCGATCACCGGTTTGTCACCTTATTACAGAGGTGCCGGGGCTGCTGCCGAGCTGCCGGCAAATGTACGCGTTTTTTTCGGAAAGATGTTTATGTAATGAGGTAGCCAAGTACTAGGACGAGCAGAATGATTGAAGAACGTTCAACCTTTGGGAAATATTAGTGGAAATCCCGGGATTATCAGTACCTTATGGGGATACCCAACCATGCCTTGTACGGTTGTGCCCATGGCAAAGCTGCAATCTTTCACCCGGTGCAGGGGTTGAGCACCCCCAACCATTTTGAGAAATCGACACCCCTGGTAACTATCATAAATCGCATTCATTTCAGCAAGTTGTGAGCTTTTGCCAGAAGAACGATAGGCGTGAGAATACCTATGCTCTGGTGCATTCTTTCGTAAGGCAAAACATTCAAAACGTGGAGAATCAAATGTGCACCGTTAACATTCTTAAATTTACCAGTATAGCGCCTTTTGGGGCGACTAACGGAGCGAGCGAGGGGGTGAGTCTTGCACGTGCAAAATTTCGAGGGGGTACCTCCAACTGACTTGTGCACGGCACCCTACTGACCTGTTTCTAGCGATGTGCCAAATTTGGGCACAATCGGCCCAGCCGTTCTCGAGATCTGGGAGCGGCACCCTGCACGTGCGCACGTGCAAAATGGGTCCCAACTGACTTGTGCACGGCACCCTACTAACTGGTCCCTAACCGTGTACCAAATTTGAGCGCCATCGGTCCAGCCGTTCTCGAGATCTGGAAACGACCCCTGCACGTGCGCACGTGCAGCAGCACCCCAACTCTGGCACATGGATATGCAGTGCCTAGTGGGTGCCTACCTACATGCCAACTTTCAGCGCAATCGGCCAAGTAGTTGCCGAGATATTGCAACAATTACAAAACTGACACCTCTTCGTTTTGCACGTGGCACGTGCATAAGGGGTCACCCCTATGCATTGGGAATAGTCCAATACTTGGTAGAAGGAATGAAGCTACCCTACAAAAATTACCGCGTGTAAATCGGTCAAGTGGTTGCTGAGATATAAGCCTCGCAAAAGCGTCCGCACGGCCGGCCGGCCGGCCGGCCGGCCGCTCATACTCAGAAATTTCCGTTAGTCTAAGGAAAGACTCCGCTCGCTTCGCTCGCTCCGTAATGAAAATCCACAACACTTCAGCAAATGTTGAACATCAATGTCGGCCGTCGAGAATGAGATGCCTCTTTACGTCCAACAGAAAGAGAATATGAAATAAGACATGGTGAAACAACCATTATCAACAGCACGCTATGTATGAGGAGCAGCACAAGGACACAGCATCCGGGAAGCACTGCTCCTTAGAGTCGGAACGGATGCGCCCAAGACGCCGCGGCACTCAGTTTGCCTGTACGTAGACTGCGCCGTCCGCCGCCGTGTGATGCGGCACAGTCTACCCAGGGGCGTCGTTTTGTATAGGCCTGGGAGTGCCCGAGCACTACCAATGTTCAGCTGAGCACTACCAATGTGTTGTTGAGCACTACCAACATTTTTCTTCACTTATTGAGAAAATTGCATTCAAACATGTCATACAAATAAAATGAATGAGGTTCTTATGTATAAAATCAACATGATAGCAAGTAACTTCAATGGTAAGTGGTAACTATTGATGAAAATCTATAGACTTACTCCACAAGTAGATTGAATTTGAATTGGTTGACCAATTCAATCTTCTTGTAGCGTACCTAAGTCCATAAATTTCCATCAATACCTAGGTATCATTTTCACTTTCCACATCATGTCATTACGTCAAGTAATTTCAAGTTATGTGGTACCTACCTACCTACCTACCTACCAAGTTTCACAATAGTCAGGGGCGTCGTTTTGTATAGGCCTGGTAGGGCCCGAGCCTTACAAATGTTTATTTGGGCCCTACCAATGTTCGCTGAGCCCTACCAATCTTTTGTCACTTATCAGTTGATAAAAAATCAAAATAAACAGATAAGCAAATATTAAATAAGCACATATGCAAGTACATAAATAAGGTTCTAGCCACAGTAGGTGCATGTAGCTGACAATGAGGTTTCACGTGTCTAGGACTCCGGTCCTTAATGGATTTTAAGAGGCTCGAAAACGCAATTGGTTATAGAGGTCCATAACTGCCTCTGAGTCCCGCATACCACGCGACCGCCCCTAATAGACCCCGATCCGTCTCCACACCAGCCGCTGGAGGCCCTACACCGACTTCGGAAGGTGCCGCGGTGCTCCAGAATAGGCCATAGGTATATTGATTTGAGTGGGTGATGCAGCCTGATTCCCCAGGGTTCAACGCCAGGTCATTACCGCATCAGACCCCGAAAACTGAAGCTCGTAACTACGAGGGGCGTTCAAAAAGTTTCGGGCCGAACAATGAAGGAGTTGGAATTTTGGCCTGCAAGGCGGTGTGTTAAATGATGTGTTATTGGGATGTCCACTTACGCAAATTAAGTAAGTGGCCATTAATTAAGTCTCTTCTGTGATTGATTCGGGCTTCTATTCGTAGCATAGTTCGCCATTTCGGATAGGATGGGCGACGCCCAGAAGAGAGCAGTGATTCGTTTCATAGTAGTTAGTGCAGAAAAGGCACCAAGCGTTAACCCTCGCCCTGGGCATTTTTCATAACACGGCCTGGCGGGGGAGGGGTCGATGCGACCCCCCTCCGCTCGTCAACTTTCCAAAACAGGGGCACACAATTGATGATGTGCGTCCATTCGATAAACATCGAGGAGAGGCTATAGGGAAGCTGACGTAAAGTGTGCACCTGATCCGCGACCACGCACCTGCGTATATGGGCGGGATGACGAACAGTGAAGCGATGAGCTTCGAGTTGTTGTCGCATCCACTTTTTTCTCTCCGAACCTTGCACACTCTGGTTAGTGGTTGCCACCTCTTCCCCAACATAAGAAAATTAGCAGCGGCAACCTCGCTAACAGCAGGGAGACGAAATCAGCCGTCTTGGACGTGCAGGATGGGTCCAAAACCCACTTGGTTATGGAGGCCTTGAGGGCTCTCGCGAAGCGCTGCGCGAAATGTGTTTGTCTTAACGGTGTTTATTTGAATAAATGAACTTTTTGGTCTAATGAGTCGATGCTCTATCTCTCTGCTCCTTCATGGTCGGGCCCGTAGCTTTCTGAACGCCCCTCGTACTGTCATCCTTTTATTTTGGCAAGCAGGTCTTTCTAACTATCGTTGTGTTTCCAGTCCTCGTTAGTTGTCGAACCCTTCAATTGGCGTGGGTCTTCAAAACCGTTCCTGGCCCCGCAGCCGTCTTTTTTAGTCGGCTTGGGTCCTCAAAGCTGTTCCTGTCCCCTTTCAGCACAGCCGTCCTTTTAAGTCGATGTGGGTCTCTTTCAGAATGGTGTGCATTCCTCCGACACTATTGCCTATATAACTGCACGTTTTGTGCATGGCGTCCGGTGTGGACCCAGATTTCCAAAGTTTTTTTTTTGTGTTTTTTTAGATTTCGGTTAGTCTTGTCAATGACCAGGGCGAAAAATAAGTGGCCGAAATCCGATGAGAAAGGCAGATTTGGGGGTACCCTACCTTGTAAGCCCCGTCATATATGGCCAGCCGCCGCCTTTTGGCACTACCAATCATTTTCGGAAAACGACACCCCTGAGTCTACCTACAGGCGTTCGGCGGTATTGCGGTACAGCCTACCTACCGGCAGCTGGATTCGGCGTGCGGCACGGGCGCGTTACGGCTAATAGGTAGTGGCGGCGGAACACCTTCAACTAAGGGGGGGGGGGCACTGCCGACTTTTGGCCCCATTCTTTCCATGCAACGCCCATAGGGCTAATGTTAAAATGTCAAAATCAAAGGGGGCACGGTGCCCCGGTGCCAAACTTTCCACTTACTCACTGTTTGAAGCTGGGCAGAGAAGAATGCGTATTGTGTAATGAAACGATTTAAATTATTCATTCAGTGTAATTTCAATGCCGATAAGCGTGAATCGAAGAATAACCGCTGTCGGCGCTGTCGGCTAATAGCGGCATAGCCCGTCGCTTGGACCCGCTCCCTTCATAAGGACGGGGTTAAAGGGACCCTCCCACCTTAACATTAGATTTGAGTTGAGATAGCCAAAATGGGGTCCCTGGCTCACAATTACCGGTTTCGGCACTCACAACATCGAGAAATGCCTTAAATCGGAAATATTGAATTTCAAAATTGCAGCATTTTGATTCAGAGGGGCTAATGCTGAGGAATACCCCTCTGAATGTGTGACGTCAGCGCAGATATCTAACGATTTTTAAATGTTTGACTAAAACGTTTTGTAGCACGCGGTGGTATATGCTATTTGCGCGCAACATCTGCCGCAAACGCCGCACTTCTAAAATAAAGTCGCTAGGAACAGTGGAGATCCCAAAAAAAGTAAACAAAAGTAAAAGTCTAATATCTTGAAAACCGGTGAATATTTTTCGGTGAAATTTGGTAGGTATTCGTTTTCGCTCTTTCTGAACCGAGCGACATCACTTTCATGCCAATTCATAAACTTTTTTGAAGGTGGGAGGGTCCCTTTAACTTATTCTGTATGGTTACCTTGGCTCCTTATTTTAAAGTTTTTTTTTTCGTTGAGTATAGTAAATAGGTACGGTACCGTGGCAAAACGCTTGACATGTGGAGTGAATGCCTGCAGTCACAGTCAAAGCAACAACCCACCATTGCTTATAATCGAGCAGCGCAGAACGCTGAAGCATTAGGTACTTGATTTCCAGGGAAACAGAAATGCATCGATTTTTATTACCTGCCTGTTGGCAAACAACCAAAACTGACAGCATGAATTAGATGTAGGAGCATCAAACTTAGGTTGAGATCAAGGACACGGTAAACAACCAGCGCTTATCTCCAAACTATTTTAAAGTTAGCATTAGACGAATGAATAAACGTTACATTTCATTACTGTAGTATTTTTCCTCGGAGAACCAACAACACCCACTGAGTGCCGACTGGTAGCTCTGACGAGACAGCGGGAGCCTGCGGCGGCCCAGGACCCGTCCCACTACCGGAGCCGCTCAGTAGGGTCGGATTCCCTCCGAGGACCAGTCGGTCGAGTGGCGCAGAAAGCCGGGAGCCGAGGCACGCGCCGCCACCCGCAGCGGGAACGTGTTCCGGCCGCCCTTCTCCAGCCTCTCCAGCTCCGACCTCACATACTCGTCAAACTGCTTCTGCTCCTTCCGCTGGGTGCATTTCAGCGCCCTCACCTCGGCGTACTCCTCTTCTTTCTCCACCAGCCGCTTGGCCTCCGTCTCGTCCACCTGCTCGCGCCAGTCGCGCCGGTTGCGCGCGCGCTGGTCGATCAGGTCCCGGTGACGGTCGCGCAGCTCGGAGGCCATTGCGGCCGTGCGCTCGTCCTGCAGGCGGCGCTCCTGGTGTCTCTGCCGGTCGGCCTCCTCCTGCTGCTCGCGGTGGCGCCGCAGCTCGGCAGACCGGTGCTGCCGAATCGTCTCTACCATGTCGGCGCGTGCGGCCGCCTTCTCCGCCTCCAGAGCGTCGTCCTTGGCGCGCTTTTCGGCCACCGCGGCGGCGATGCGCGCGTCCTCGTCCGACTGTTTCGCCATCAGCTGACGCTCCAGGAGGGCGCAGGCGACTTCACTGCGCCGTCTACTGCGGTCCAATATCTCGTCCCGTGTCTGCTTGATTTGTCGAGCCATTTCCAGTTTCCCCAAACTGTATATGCGAGTTTCGGCATTTTCTTCCTCTTCCCTCTTCTGCTTGAGGAGCTCAAATGCTCGTTGGGTTCGTGCGTATTCGTTCGCTTCTTTTTTCATCTGCTGTCTTTTCTCGTACTCTTCCTCCTTTTCAAGTTGCAGTTCGTGTTCGTACTGCCGAGTGGCTTCCCGGACCTGTTCGGCATATTCCAACTCCTTCTTCTTGGCTTCTTCCTTAACCGCAAATGCGACCTCAATCTCCTTGGCGTTGGAGCGCTGCATGGCGGCGCGGCGATCCCTCTGCTGCTGCGCTTCGATCTCTGCCTGCCGCGCCCAGTCGAAGTGAAGGTGCTTCTGCCACTGACGCTCCCGCTCGTCCTCCCGCTTCTTCATCTCGGCTTTCAGCGCCACCTGCTCGTCGCGTTCCTTCAAAACCTCAGAGAGCAGCAGCGCACCGTCTAGGTTGCGGACTCGTTCCTCATTGTGGAACAGCATCTCCCGGGCGGCGTCCAGCTTCTGCTTTCTCAAGACGGCCTGTATCTTTGCTTCCTCCGCGTCAATGGCGAGCTGATCTTCCTCTTTCTTTCGTAAACGATCCTCTCTGTCTTGAAGTCTTTTCGCGTGGAGTTTCGCCAATGTGTTGGGCCAGTCATCTTTCATCTGTTTGGAGACAGTCTGTCGATGCTGTGCGGCCTCCCGCAATTTCTGCCGTCGTGCTTCCTCCTCCTGCTGCCTGGTCAGGTGGCCGCGGATGGAGTTCCATTTATCACGCGACAGCAGCGCCGTATCGCGTGGCAGATTCGTCGGCACGTAAACCACTGGCATGGCTGGAGACTTGGTCGCATAAAACGACTTATCAAGTCAAACCGGACATCATCAGCACCTCTTGCAATGAAGCACGATTTATTCAGCTTTCTGTCTGAATAAATGGCGCTATCTTTCTCCTTTTCATCGACGTCAGTTGTCCGGCTCTTGCTGGATTCAGTTGGATTCTCGCTTCATTTGCTCCGCTTGCTTCTTGCCTCAGTCATCCTCGATTGCTTTTAAAATTTGTCATTTGATTTTCATTGCGACAGGGCACCGACCACGTGCCTAACTTATGCACTATTTCCAAAATGGAAGCATCAGCATCGATGTGTCAAAGAACGTAACGTCCTGTCAAAGTGCATATAGGCCATAAAAAACGCAACTAATAAGTTAATATATCACGAGCTTCTTCAGAATCTTCAAAAGATACGCTGCATCAATAACGCACCGTTTGGTAAAAAGTCTATTTTCATAGCACCTTAGCTTCCAAGGGGTAAGAATTTAATTGATTGACGGGAAAATAATTGTTCGCAGGAAAATATGCTGTGTCAGAGTTATTTCTTTGATATAAAATATTTTGAAACATTACGCATTCAGTTAATTTGTGCGTATATGTAAAAACTCACTAAGGTAACGGAACATCAAATATGGCATTGGCAAACTTGTTCACCAAGTACGGAATACGGACATTTTAAACGAATGATGACAATTAAAGCCATCGAAGCCCTAGAAAGTAGAAACGAGTTAATTTTACACTAAATCAAGTGGCCATCTAAGTGAACAACATCGAAAAAGCCCATATGTGGCGGCATTGGAGCCGCCAAATCATGTACCGAACTGTGAAACGGCGCTTATCGTGATATTGGCTCTACTCAGATATTATCGGCAAGAGATTGACATTCGGTATTCAGTCATAATTCATATCTTGCTAGAACAGGACAGCGGATCAAGTTCTATCGTCACAAAATACATCCTTTATAATTTATATAGCAAGGTCACCTGCCATTTGAAAGGTCAACACGTGGCAAGGCTGCAAAGCCGATTAATGCTACTAACCAGACATTCCATCAACTATTCATAATTGGCGGGCCGACGGCAAAGCACACACGCACCGGCACAAGTCACACCCAGCGCGGGCGTGCTCCAAATGGCTTTGAGGCCTATGAGACAGAACGCTTCGCAGATCGGCGTCCACCAGCCAAAAAGTCAATAATACCGAACGAAAATTTATTTTTCTCTGAATCAGACACCCCGGGTTGATATCAGTGAACCAAAACATCGATTTCTACAACTGCCACGTTGATTCATTTGCCGAACACACAGATGGAAATCAATTCTACAACCAGACCGTTCTCAGTAACGTTAAATTTTACATCAGCGATGGGGCTTAAAACTTAAAATTAAATATCGCATGATATGCAAGGCCTAAACAATTAAGTCCGCTATGACTATGCATCAATCAGACGCAACCTGCCATTGAACGGACATAATACACAGAAACACTGAAATACCACCGAACATCTTTCAACACCGAAAAAATGTCGCCCACGACGTGATGCCTTCGGACGCAAAATTTGAAACAGACAACAATCCGGTTGGGTGCTCTTATGCCACGGCCAATGAGGAGGAGCGGAACCTTTCCGCGCGCAAAGCGATCACCTGTAGTCCAGAAAGCAACGCACGAATAGCAGATGTGATACAACCCGCACTCACACGAGTCTAGTCTGTGTGTTAGGAGCCCCTACCAAACGGCTTCGCAACATCTATATTTCAGTCGAATATACCGGGGATTATTAATAGACACAGCACACCGCGTGAGCCACCGGTAATCAAACTAAGTGCTCGTGAACACGCCGAATATAACATAACTCACCGCGCACGCAAATTAGATCCAACAGCTTTATTATTCGATACATGCTAGCAATTAATTTACCTTGATAATGAAACAAACAACACGGAATGTTCCTCAAAATTGGCCAGAGAACGCGTGGACCGATACCGGGTGGCTTACAAGTAACACCAACCATTCAACATTCCTTTATGCGCGACGAACACCGAATCGGTTCTTTTTCTGGCCATCCCGATAGAACTGACACACGTGGCCACGGGGTTAAAAGCTCTCTCTGCTCTCCGTCACTCGCAGGTTTCGCCGCGGTCGTGAGCCATTTGACCGCGGGCACGGCCCAGATGCCTCGGCTCTGACAGCTCAGTTCTTCTTTTTGTTACGTTCCTGAAGAAATGATTTCCTCGTTAGTCGTTACTCTTACGAGCATTTAATAACGCGCTAAAATTACAATTGATTGCACTACTTACTTCCGAATAAATCATAAATCTATGCATTATACTTATTGGGTTCTTCATTTAGTAAATTGTGCTTCTTCAAAGGCATACCACATCAAACTACCAACGGAGCTCAAGCATACAAAACTCCGCTAAGCGGCGAACTCACCTCCTTCTGCATGAGGATGACCAGGACGTGGCGGAACACGTCCACAAAGTCGACAAACAGCATCAGCGAGTGCCAGACGTAGTCCCTGTCGCCGCGGCGGCGGCGCTCGATGATCAGTTGCGTGTCGTACAGGATGAAGCCGCAGAAGAGCACCAGGCCGCCGTACAGCTCCAGCTGTGAGCACACAGGAAGGGGTTGGTCAGAGGTGGACCGGGACGTGAGCCAGAGATAAATACACCGCGACACGGGCAGTCAGCACCCAACGGGACACAAACCGGCAATGAACACGGGATAACCGCCAACTATAAGGTGATTGCAACAGCTTGGCAAGCGAACAAACAACGGCATTGCGACAGCTTTTTGCAACCTTATATATGGTTCATGATGGCACCCTCTAAACACACGCACTAAATAAAAATTATTTATCGCAAATAAGATCTTTACAACAACAACAAAAAAAAACAATAAATTATTTACAATAGGTTCGTTTACACACAATGCCATAAGATTCTTCATCAAAGGCTATACCTACACATAATTCAAGCAATTCCCGCGTTCCATTCAAGACCAACTGCCTCAGTGATGTCACATGGTCAATTGGAGTACCGGCGTGGCAGGCACTCCTATCGCGCCCGAACATAGACCGGCGTACAGAGGTCTATGGCCCGACACAAGATCTGACGTTCCGCGGGCTCACCTGGAAGATGAGGCGGGACCTGAAGAACAGGTTGGCCAGCGACAGCAGCATCATGGTGGAGAGCGCCGAGCCGAGGATGCCGCCCAGGAAGAGGAACTGGGCGCGCTGCGTGTACAGCGCCGCCAGCGAGAAGCTGACGAAGATGGCGCTGCTCAGCAGGAAGGCGGTCGTCACCAGCGAGGTGTTGATGAACATCGAGAGCTCCAGCAGCGGGCCCAGACCCAGACCTGGCGGCAAGGTCCGCCGGTCAGGCCAGTCAGATGGCCGCGGGAGCGATATATCACCAACCGTTCATAGTCATGCACGATCCGGTCAGGCTGTAATGTATTTTATCGAAGAAAACAAGTGGGCCTACGACCTGCGACTCTTGTCTGATAAGGCACCCGTAGTCATCGTGACAAAAAAAAAATGAATGTGCAAAGTAGAGATGTCAATCGGATACCAACTTTTGGGTATACCGATACCAAATCGATACCAACTTGGTATTTGGTATTTTAATCGTAATGTGTTTGGTATTTTGTTAGTATCATAAGCCCTCACTAATGTATAAGAGGCTAATAAATCGGTAAAAAGTTGGTATTTCTCTCAGTTTCCCAAGTTGGTTTGGTTTCGGTATTTTCCCGTGGTTTTGGTTGGTATTTGGATTTTGGTTTGGTATCGGTATTCCGATTTTCCGTAATTGACATCACTAGTGCAAAGCAATTACTCATTATCTGGCTGGTTGACTGTAATGTTTCGTCACCATTTTGCGAATAGCAAAGATATCACGTCCAATCCAAATTCATTTACACCATTAAACTTCCATTAAACCAAATGCGCTCGGTAAAATGGGCGCCTCATTTTATTACCCATGTGCCTGGGCCAGGCGTCCCCTGTCGGTCTCGCCACCGCGCCTGCCCGGCAGCTGACGGTTCACGGCCAGATAGGGACCGGTGAGCGGTGGGGAGGGGGGGGAGCTCAGTGACACGTGGACGGGGCCGCAGCGGGAGCCCAATGACTGATGCAACCGGCCGCCCGAGGTGTGGTGTGACGTCAGAGCGGCTAGAGCGGCACAACGTTCCGCGTCCGCTCGGGGCCGGGGCACTTGTAGCTCAGCCGGCGTCGCATAATACAGAGTCCAACATCAACAGCCCAGTCACACGGCGAAGTCCGGGGAACGTTCGAGAGAGCCATGTCACCGGTCCCGGCCGGGGGAATTACCTAATGTTTACCATCGGAAGAGGCTCAGACCCAGTGAAGAGGCCCGGCGAATCAGACTTTGGACCGACGGGGCAGGAGTGGGTGGCGGCCGCCCAACGCCTCTGTCTGAAGGAATCTATGCAACGGGTAGAGGAAGGGATGGCTGCTATAGTCGTTCACGCAGAGTGGCGCTAGCAATTCGCTAACTTTCCCCAGTTGAGTACAGCTCTGCTGCTGTCATTACGAGTCTAACCTTCATTTTGCCGTCCACCAAATAAGACCAAAGCCCGCTAAGGCATACAGCTTACATGCGGCCTACCCCCTCAAACTATGAGAAAAAGGGTAAAATAAATAAACGTATGGTCAGTCAACGCAAACACACTAATATTCTCCTTTAAACTATTAGAAACAGCGTAAAATGAACGTCTCGTAGGCAAGCGTAAAATGAATAAACGTTTCAAAAGTTTTCCATGATAAATTGACGCAACAGGAACTCAAATTGCAGTTGCACCATCCATTTCTGACGGTGCACCGAAAATGCTGTATATTGCATCGCAAAATGCTTCAACAAACAAAATGGGTTCCGATGAAGGACGGACGTATACGCTTCGTTACTTACGTTTCCTTAGAGGAAACTAACCAAAAGATCAAAATAAAACACAAATGAGCGGAAACACGCGGCCCTGGGACAAATAACTAAAAACCCTCGAAGAGGCTGAGCCTTGTCGCATCATTCAGCCAGTTCGTCACACCAGACGCCACCGCCAATACCTCCAGAAACCTCTAGAAAAGGACTCACCTGTGCAGAAGGCAAAGCCGCCGAGCAGCCCCAGCCTCTTGGCCGTGTTCTTGCCGTCGTCCGGGGTGAACATGAGTGCCCCCATGAAGCCGAGCGAGGCGAGTGCCGACAGCAGGCCACCGGACAGCAGGCCCGTGTACAGGTGGACGGCGCTGCCGGCGCCCGCCAGCAGAGTCGAGATCGACACCGCAGAGTACACATTCTTCAGGTGCTTCCGGACTGGTGGCTCCCTGCATGGTGAGAGATCTGTGTAAGAATGAATACGGGCGAAACAAATAATTTTGAAAACAATTATTCCTTAAAGGGACCCTCCCACCTTCAAAAAAGTTAATGAATTGGCATGAAAGTGATGTCGCTCGGTTCAGAAAGAGCAAAAACGAATATCTACCAAATTTCATCGAAAAATATTCACCGGTTTTCA